GAAAACACTGATAAATGCTAAATAAAGAGTTAACTGTAAAAACAAGCCAGCAGCCACCACCCCAAGGACAAGGAAATCTGGAGAGCTGTTTATCACCCAGCATTTATGCCTTTAGCTGTGAGACTGCTTGGCCACTGCTGCAGCAGGAGAAGTCCATGGATGACGTGAGAGCCAACTTTGCTGGCAACGAGGGTGTAACAGTGAAATGGGTGCTTGGGTGCTTTACCACAGCACCACCTCTCCAGAGCTGAGCTTGGTGGGAGGACAAGGGGGTAGGGAGCTATCAGGCTGAAAGCAGAGTGGCTGGAGAGGTGGAGGAAGAGCCACAGGGTACCTGCTCCAGGACGAGATCCTTTTTGGGGGGAGCTGGCTCTGTCACTGCAAGGTGGCTCAAAAATCTCTGCAACTCCACCAGGTTGGGCAGCTGGTCAACGAGGATGTCTTTCAGGAATGCACGGAGCTGCAGCCACGGAGGGAAAAAGAAGAGTGAAGAGAGAGAGATCAAGACAAGGGAGTCGGAGCTGGGGAGGCAGCACGGTGAGAGCAAGGATCTGGCACTGGCAGAGTGACCTATGGGAATCCCATGGGGTGCACTCGCAAACACAAGCTTTGCTGCTGCTGGCACAGTGACAGACGCCACTGCTCTCCCACCACTGGCTGCTAGGAGCCCACAGCAAGGATGGGGAAAGATGCCTGGAGGTGCCTAGTGTTAGCAAGGTCCTACTCTGTGCAGCAGGGCCCATGGCCTTCATGGTGTAGGCTCCTACCTTGAGGAGCTGGCTCTTGTTGAAGCCATCAAAATGGTATTTGCGCTGGCATTCGGGGCTGAGCAGGAGGTTGAGGAGGGCAAGCCACACCTGCCCGTCAAGTTTGGTCATTTTCACCTGGTCTTCAGGGGGCACCACGTGCCACGTGCCATTCTCAAACTTCTTGAGCTTGCCTGAGGGACAGAAGAACACACGGCTCCAGGGAGAGACAGCTCAAAGATGGGGATGCTGGCCTACGCTTACGCTCACTTCCTCACAAGCCCCTCTGCTTCTGTCTGCCTTGGTTTCCCCACCCCTTTTCTCAGCATAGCAGCCTTCTTGGTACTGAGACAATATATTAGAGAGCATGAAAAGCATAAAGAATATGCATTAAAACAACAGGGCTGCGGCAGGAACTGAAAGATCCCTGTGATATCTCCCTCTGTACTTGGCCAGGAGTGCAGAGCACTGGTAGATGGTGGGGCAGCCCATGCTGCAACAACAGAGTGGCCGGAGAGGCATATTTTGGGGTATCAGCATGGCCAATACCTGCTCTTAGGGAGATTCTTCTACCGGTGAAAGCCAGAAGTAGCATGAATACAACAGAAGTGACAAAACAAGCTCCAGGAGCTACTGTGCTGCTCCGGGGGGTGGAGGAGGATGTAACCCTACATCTGCACAGCCTGGAAATGCCTTTGCACTCTTGTTTCTTTCCAGTCCCTCCCCCAGGGCCCTGGATCAAAGCTGCCTCTGACACCCCAAGAGCACAGGCGGAGAGAAGGGATGCGTTTCCTGGCCGGAGGAAGGAGGAAAGCTCCCACATCCAGCTGGGCTGCTCTCGGCAGGCGCAGAGCCACGTGCTTCCCAGCATCTCATCCTCCCCTGCCCGCGCTGTGACCCCCCCATGGTGCAGAGCTGGGGAGGGGAGTGTGGGTTCCCACGCCCCAGGCTGTGCCCCACCGCTGCTCAAAGGCAGGCAGCAAGGAAGCTGGGGGGCTGCAGAGGTGCAGGAGGCAGGGCTGACCGCACAGGTGACAGCTGATGGGGACAACCTGATCACCGGCATTCGGCAAGAGCAAGGCTCAACAACCAGCAGCTTCTGGGCAATCCGTTTGCTGTGTGGGAGAGCCCATGTCTGCCTCCAGCTCTCAGTGCTGTCCCAGAGGGGTCCAGACAGGCCGAGACTGGCACTCCGGTCTGTCTGCATTCACGACAATAGTCCTCAGAGGAGCAGGTGGGGCTGGCAGATGTGCTACGCTCCGGCTCCTGTCCTGGCCGCGATCAGATCAGACGAGACACAGCCCTGTGTGAGGATCGGCTTTTGGGACCACTGTTGAGTCCTCAGCCCAGCTGTGCTGCAGCTGCTTTCGAGCTGAAGAGCTTCGGGCAGGGAGCACTATCGAGGAGCAAGGGCCAAGGGCCGGAGAGGAGCGTAGAGGGGGAGACGCTTTCTGCAAGGGCTCCTGCAGCAGACCTGTCAGTGGATGCACGTTCCAGCACGCCACCACGGTGCCGCAGGTACCACGAGGCACGATAAGTACCTGCTTCCCAGCAGCTCCAGGGGCAATGCTCCACCAGCTCGACTAGGAGGCAGGGCAGGTTGTGGGTGTTCAGCATCCGTGTCAGCGCGCTCAGGGGCAGACTGGAGATACGACAGAAAGGGTGAAATGGCACTCGCAGACAAATGACAGAACAGATACAAACACTCCCCGAGGCAACTGGGAGAGGCAGGACAGAAACAAAGATCTGGGTTCCCACAAGTACCACAGAGCAGGGTGGAGTGCTGTGCCTCCCGGGGCGCAGTGCCACTGCCACCATGGATACAGCCAGCTGCCTAAAGGGGTCTAGATGCCCACTGTGACCACGCAGGAATCGCAACTGGAGAGCTCGGCATGTCCTCTGCTGCTCCTGGGCACCTACCTCTCTACCTGATCGGTGATGAACCGCAGCACAGACAAGGCTTTCAGGGAAATCTCAAACTCCATAGTCTCCGCCTGCTTCTGCAGCTCCTGTGGAGGGACAAGCACAGCCTCGGGAGTTCAGGCCCCATTTCCCAGAAGCTGCAGGGATGCAGCCTGTTGGCTGCACATCGATAACCACAGACTGGGGAGAAAACTAGAGCCCTGCAAAACAAATTCTGTTTCTCATCTCGACCATGCCAGTGCTGCCTGTTTGCCAGGGCAGCCACAGGAGTGCTTGCAGCCCACTGTTGCTCATCCCTCATCTCCCTACCCCTAACACATCACGGGCGGCTACCAGCAGCAATGCCCCTGCACAGCGACACCCCCCCGAAAGAGGCCAGTTCCAGGCTGCTCCTCTCACCCTTTCTGGGATCATCTTGTGGCCCATGAGACATGTGAGGCTGAGGGAGGGGGGAGCTGCATGATCAGCAGAAGAACCGGAGGAGGAGGGAGAAACTTGGCCCTGGTAGAGCTGCAGTCCTACCTCCACCCCTTCTGGATCTGCCTCTCTCCTCCAGCTTGCGTACAGCCAGCTACAGTATCTGCCTGTGGTTATCCCAGCCTGCAGCTACACCAGTCTCCAGCCACTCAGCCTCCTTCCTTCCCAGGCAGTGTGGACACCCTGTACATCCCTCACTCACGCAGGTTGACAGTCTGACCCCTCCTCTGACTCAGCCTCTTTCAAGACCATGGGGATGGCTAGGCTGAGATCTGCCAAGTCCTTCTCCCTGGCCCAGGCAGAGCTTCTCCTCTCCAGTCCCAGACGCTCAGCAGCTCACATCTTTGAGTGCAGAGCACTGACCTCAGCAACTCCTGTTCCTCTAAAGCACCGCTGCAACTGTTTCCTTCCAAATTCCTGTGGTGAGAAGCCCTGCACTCCCCATGCTGGCGCCCCACACACTACTAAGAAAGCCTTTCGGGCTCTTTCCCCCCACCTCCTCCTTCAAACTCGCCAAGTGAGGCCGTTTCCTATAGCTCCTCCTGGTACCCAGACCTCATTTGTGCTACCTTCAGACAGGAACTGTCTTTTGCCTGTGCTTCTGAAGGACAGCAGAACAGGTCCTGCTCCAGTGGTTACCACCGTACACAGTCACAAAGGACAGCAGGCTCCACAACACAGGAGAGGGCAGGAACAGTTTTTTAGTAGGCGATTATTGTATGCAGAGTCAGGAGGGGCTGGAATGAATCAGAGGAAACCAGGCTCCTCGGGAGACGAATGCTTTTTTGAACCCTGTTGGCTAGAAAAGGTCTTTTTTTTCCCCTTGAGCCATGTCGAAGCGCTAACAGAGACACCCCTTTCCCCTCCCCAGCTGGGAAAACATTTCCTGGAAAACATCCCTATTGTGCTCTGGAGCCCTCCACTTCCTTCCCTTTTCTGGAAGAGGAGCACGTGCTCAGGCAATAAGCCAAAGGATGGAGGTGATGCGGGGAAGTACGGCCAAGCTTGCAGGCTGTCACTTTAACCCTGCTTCTCCAGACGCTCCTCGCGATGTGTGCAGTTTAAGGAGGAAACTTGAGCTGCTGAGAAGCAAAGTCCCAGAAGCAGAGAGAGCTCCCACACCAGGAAGGTGTGTGCAGCAGCCCTGAAACACCTGACTGGGAACAGCTCCAGAGAGGACGTAGTTCTCAGAGAGCCAAGAAAGTTGGAGGAAACACATTAGGACAATTCCTAGTCATATCAGGCATCAGGGAGGGATCATGTAGGGAGGGATCCCTCTCATAGTTAACCCTGGCTGGCTCCAGCGGCAGCCTGAGGTAAGGTGGTTTTACAAGCTCCAAGGAGACATACCCACACAGTTTTTAAGATCAAATGGTCAAAACCCCTGTACTGAATGTTTCGCGTAACTGTCAAGTCTCCGGTGTCTCTCCACTCTGAGCGCCAACTCAGATTTTGTCCTGCAGCAAACCTCAAGCTGGTACTGTCATGAGAGAAGGCAGAAGCGCTGCTGCGGGGTGGAGGGAGGTGGGTGCAGCTGCTGGCCCAGCGAAGCTGCGGACATGGATGAGCATCAGCACCAGACGCCCTCCAAGATGGGTGGGAGGTGCTGGGGTTGCAGCCAAGGGGTTCTCCATAGGAAGGCCGCCCCCCCCCCATGCCTCTTCAGGCTGCCCACATCCTCTACCACATGTACCCCCAATGAGCTAGAGGACTTTCTCCTCACCTGCATGGATGAGGGGCTGGCCAGATCCTCAGAACGAAGCTCTGTTGGGGTCACTGTCTGTCCATTGGCGCTCCGAGCTGCGAGCAGGGTCAGTTTCCGGTGGCAATAATCAATTAAATCCAGAATGCTGTCCTCTGCTGAGTCGCAGATTTCCTTCACGATGATAAGAGGGCCTCCTTCACAGAGGGCCAGCCCCCACAGCTGTGGCTTTCCACCCCCAGGGGCTTTACACTGAAAAAAAGCTGAACCTGCCTCTTACCTTGTAAAAAAACACAGTCTCCAAGAGGTTAATGATGGAGGCTTCATGATGCAGCTGAGGGAGAAAAACGGCAAGAGTGAGGTAACAGCAGAGCGGTCACTGGCACCGAGGATGCAGGCAATGGGACTGGGAAAAGGGCTCTTCTTAGAAGCTACTTACGTAGTTGTGGCCAAACGCAAGTCCAAGAGCCAAATACAAATGAGGTAATCTTTAAAACAACTCCAGCTTGTACAGTTCATACTAATATTTATGTTAACATGCCTATGACACTATAACACACTGATAGAGAACCACACTTCCTGGCAGACAGGGCTCTCTCTCTGACAGTACAGCGACAGAACAACCATAGCCCTCCGGCAAGCTGCAGCCCCCAGCGCTAGCACAGAGCTGCTGCCTGAGATGGGAGAGCGCTCTGCATAGCTGCACTGTTCTCAGCCCCCTGGGACTGGGACAGAGAGCCTTGTCCTGAGACTGGGAACCACGAGGTAACTGTCTCAAGGCAATGCTGCGGCAAACGGCTTCCCAGGGAGGATACCACTTTGCCCCAGCAAGGTGCTACCCTGGACTGAAAATGGGCTAAAACTTCCAAGCCTTGGGCAGATTGCCCTTAGGTCAAGGGCTGCATCTCTCCACAGGGAAACCAAGTTCCCGAGATTGCTCCCTTGCCAAGAATGGCCCAAGGGACCACTGCTCCCAGAAGCTTGGTAAGAAGCAGCTACATTTTTCTTAACCCAGAGGCACATAAGCTTGGAGACCCCTCTGGTTAGAGATGCCAGAGAAAACCAGTGCTCAGAGGGGGGCAAATACCCCAGGGACACTGCTGCCTGGGAGCGAGGGTAGCACTGAGTTGCTGGGAGCTGCAAGGCAGGAGCACAGCTGCCTCCAGGAGTGGCGTTTGCTGCATCCAGCAGCTCTGGCAAGGCTGTGAGTGGGATTAGGCAGGGGCACAGCCTTCCACAGAGCTGAGCTCCCCTGGGAGCCGGTCCCTGTCCCTCCTGGGAGCGAGGACACATGCTTGTCACTTGCAGCTTTGTGAAACCAGGTGCTTCCCACTGTCACAGCGTGCACTGCAGCTTCTCAGCTTGGCAAGACGTAAAAACCCAGCTTCGAGATCTTCAGGGTGAGATTTATTTTTAAGTGTAGAGATCCCAATCCAATTTCTGGGCTCGTTCCCGCTGCCCCCTCTACTCACCACCACGTAGATGGGGAAGGTGCTTCTTGGCTTGAAGTCCTCCAGCCGGCACAGCACAGGAAAGATCTTGTGCTTCCAGATCTCCACAGAGATCAGCTCACCAATGAGAACAGGAACCTAGACAGGGAAGGGACAGAAGACTGAAGCTGTTCAGACTAGTGCCGGAATTGGAACCAGTTTTACTGCTAATGCTCAGCTGCACGGATTTCAGAGTCATCCCACAGAGGAGGGTGGCCTTGGGGCACACAGTCTGTATTCACCCAGCTCAGATATCAACAACTTTTCCTCGAGATACCAGAGGGCAGAGAGCTCCTGGGGTTGCAAAGCTGGAAGATGACCCCAAGGAGCTGGGCAGGTCCAGGGCACCATACATCCTGGTGCAGCCCAGCACATTCTGGGACTGGGACACCCTGGGTATACGGCAGAGATCCACAACCAGAGAGGGGCTGGTGCACAAAACAGACCAAAACAACCTCCAGAGAGGAACCGAGACCAGCAAGCAGAAATACCACAGCTTGACCTTTAATTTTTTTAAAAAAAGCAACACTGAAAAACCATCAGTCAAACATCTTTGTCAGAGATACAGCAGATTCTTTACCATTTTATTCCAAAATTGCACATTGTCCACAAAACAACCCCAGCTCGAGGCTAAAGGCCTGGCACTGGGGATCTCTCCCACACGCAAGGAAGCTCACCTTGGCGTAGGTGACCAGCAGCTCAGTGAGAAGCTGCTCCTGGCCTGCAGAAGCGCTCAGGATGGCATGCATATTAAGCTTCTCCACACACTCGTGCTGCCGAAGCCATCTGCAGGGCAGCCAGCAGAGACATGAGTGCCAGAGACCTCTGGCCACTGGATTTAGGGCTCCACTGTGCTCCTGGGGAGGGTCCCCCATTCAGGGAAACCTGCTCCCGGCACCCCCATCCCCAGGAAATGCCCCAAGCCTGCCAGGCACCCCCAAACCCCATGCTGTCCCCTGAGCCTGTGCTCCCTGGGGCAGCAGCTCCACCTGCAGCAGCCCCCACCCCACTGCCCTCCTGCCTGCGCACAGCAACACCCACCACGAGACACGCCACTGGGGACAACCCAAAACCTGGGGTCCTCTTCTCCATCACCCCAACCCGCACAGACCCTCTGGGGACATCCCAGGTCTGGACCTTTCCTTGCCTCCCCACCTCACATGGACTCTCCTCTCTCTCTCACCCTTCCCAGAGGGCTCCAGAATCGGGGTCCCTCCTCTCTCCCCACCCCACCTTGACCCTCTAGGGTCACCTCATAACTGGGCCCCCTCCTTTGTAACCTAGACCTTCTGGGGACCCCTCCTTATCCCCACCCAGACCCTCAGGAGACACCCCAAACACAGGGCCCCTCCTCTCCCCCCACCTCACACAGCCCCAACGGGGACAAGCTAAATTTCGAGCCCCTTCTTTGCGCTCCCCCACTCAGACCCTCCGGGGACACCCCAGAACCGGCGCCCGCCCTCCCCC